ATCTGGGCAACTACAATTCTTGCCCCTTCTAAATTTGCTTAATACTCCTCTAGTCAGTATTTCTAACTGTTGTGCTTAGTTGTAGAGTGGTGGTTTTCCAGAACTCCACAGCTTTAGTAAAATCCTTAAGTGAAATGCTGTTTTTCCACAAATGTGAAGGCTCTTTCTTATGAGGGGACATGGACCAGAGCCAACATGCTCCAACTGCAGGGAAGGGAATTTCTTTCTCAGAAGAGGATCTGGATCCAAACCATTCCCTCAGAAAACACACAAGTATTACATAAATACATGACATTAGACAGTGCAAATTGTAGTGCTTCTTGCATCCCATGTAAGGTGTGATTATGGGATGATTCAAATTAGCAGGCCTGGAAGTTTAAATGCTTCAGCAGCAAGCCAAGAAAATACCCACAAGTTAGATGTTAGGGGAATATTTGCTATGAAAAAATTCGGCTAGATATTTACAGGGGCAAGCAGTAATAGAAATGTGAATACGCCTTGCAAAAAAAAAAACAAACCAAAACCGAAACAAATTAAAAAAAGTGAGGAAAGGGTGAAAGTCTAAATAATGCCATGATATTTAAAAATGTATTCTTTTCACTGTAGATTACAAAGAGCAGAAAGAACAAGAAACACAGAAGAGATGCCTGTGCTGGAAAGCAGCAGGATGTTTACAGCCTTGCTCGACTGACTGCTGTCAGAGGAGCAGTACGGTATGTTAGATGCACACTACTGTTTTTGTCTAACAGATAGCACACACCTGAAAGACAAAGATATCAAGCTAGCTGGTTGTGGAGGTAGCCTCTTGGGCTCCTGCTTGTTGCTGGGAAGCCTGGAGTATTTGACATTTCCTATCAGTAAATATAAAGCCTGAAAGGTTTCCGAATCACAGTGGGAGGCATGGCAAGTGGATGAGTAGATTTGCTGCAACATATGGTTTGTTGGAGGAGTGAGACACTTAATGTAATAGTTATCAATACCCGCATGTGTATTTCAAATAAGATAAAAGTTAATTAGTTTCAAATTCCATCCTCCTTTTCTGTTAATATTTTTTTTTTTAAATCAGTCTGTGAACTACTGGCAAAAAAATCTAGCACCAAAATCAGGCTGTGTGAGAACTTGAAGTAATCCTCCCAGTGACACTCTTCACAAAACAGCTATCTTGAACTGCTGCTATCATGTTTGTAATTTACAGCACGAAATACAATTTTGTGAATTCCTCTCCCACAGCATGACAAATACCTCCAGTGCAATATTATAAGGGGGCAGGGTGGGAGTGATTCAAAACAGGCTGTTTTCAGTTTCAACAATCTAAAGATGCTATTAGCAGATTACCCAAACAATATATTATTGCTGAACTAAGATGTGCTCAAAAACACTGAGTCATGCTTCTAAATTAAAGAAATTAGTTTGAAATTATAAATATTCTAAATAAACTCCAGCACAGGTTGGGTTCTTTGTCAGTTGCTGTAATCTTCCATAACCCACATTACTCATGTTTCCACTTGTTCCTTGCATGAACAAGGGGTAAAATGTGAAAGAGAGGGGGAGGGGAAAGTGGGATAGAAGTCAAGTTTTGGAAAAATAAAACCAGCAAGTATCACAGTAACATTAAAAGCCTCACCCAAGAGAATTCTTCTCAAAGACATGCTTTTGGGGGATTTTAGTTCAAATTGTGGCCAATGGCAGGGGCATAACCTGCAGTAGATTTGAAGGGTTAGAAAGTATCTTGCTAGGATGTGTAGTAAAATGGGCAAAAATCAAACATCCCAAGGCAACAGTTACTCATACAACTGAAAAGAGCCGGCTTGCAAGCAGCTTGCTGTTTACTGCAGGGATCTTCATTCTTGAGAGTTAACCTTACATTTCAAAGTGTATTTTTAAATCCGTGAGCATTAGACAAAAGACATGGGGGGGGGAATAAAAAAGCTATTTTGGTTCTGCTTTTATTTCTGTGGTTTGTTAGACATTGTGGGAGTGTAGAGAGATAAGATAAGCCAGTCTCAAAGCCTTCTCTTATGTTTATATCCAGCCAGACCTGCTGCTTATCACTCTGCCATTTAACTCCCTCTCTATTAAGAAGAAAAGATGAGGGGAAAAATTAGTCTGGCTGCAGCTCGAACAGCTTCCTTAGAGGAATGTGATGCATGCAGTAAGAAGGGTTGTTTGAGGGAGAACTGTGAGCTGAGCTACTTATCTAAGGTAGCCAGATCTTTGGAGGCTGAAGAGTAGGGCTGGTTATCACAAGAGCACAGCCTGCTACTTTTGTCTCTTTGTCTCCCTTTAGTTTATCTCCCATTTTAAAGCTCAGAGCCCCCATCAATACTCAAAGGATGGTGCACATTTTTGTTTTAGTGGTTATGATTCTCATGCTGTCTCAAGAAGAGGAAAAGGAATCTGGATCTCCACATCTCTCTAGGTTGTCTTGTATTTTTGGTCCAGGAGGTAGGTCTTGAACACACAGAATGTCCTTGCCTGTGTACAGAAGAAACCAGTCCTTTGGAAATGTTTCTCTGTATTTTGCTCTCCTAACAGCCTCTTGGCTAAATCCCTGAAGTTTTGGGAGAGACAGAAAAGCTTTGGCACAAAGGCAGAGGCTGTTCTAGGAATACCTTTGCCCTGAAATGCATTGACCTCTTCTAGCACAGCTCAGCCCTCGCATGGTGAGTTAAAGTCCATCTCACACCTGTGTCCTACTCAAACAGAAAAAGGGATGACCTTAGTAACAAAGGGTTGTCTCTGACACGAAGCTATACTTTGATATTTCACCCATGCTGTAAAAAGGGTAACAAGCAGCAGGGAAGATGGTGGACTGAATACAGGAGGTGGGAAAGTGCCAGTAAGGAACTCTGTTTCAAAGAGAAAGATTTAGGATAAAGATCCTGCTCACTGGTCATGAGCACTGCAGAAATATACAAAAAAAAACCCCCTCAGTGGACAGAAGGTGATTGCAGAGAACCGAGCAGAAATTGGACAGATAAGGTAATAATAATCAACTTTGGTCCCCCTATGATTATTGTCTGTATTGTACTGTCTACTCGTCATCTGGATATGGACACAAATGAAGGAACAGGTTAGGGGTTCCCTTTGACTCAGAAGCAAAGAAGGGAGTTTTTCAGCATGCATCATCACTCTTAAGGAATTCATGACATTCCCAGAAGCAGCAGCTTGCTGCAGACACACTCTAGATTTCCAGGTCTAATCCAGAGCCACACATTGGGGTGTAGAAGTTATGTTCCAGACTTGATTCTGATTTTCTCAAATAGGCAGAATAATAAAGCCATCCATTTTAGGCACTGACGCTAGCTGTATCTCTAGTACACATGCTGGAATTTGCCAGCATTTCTTCTTTCCCTGCTTTACATTTCATTCCTCCCACAGTTCTTTGGCTTCTGAGTAGAACAGATCCCTGCTAGCAATGATGTGCTGGATTGCATCCCTTTAAGAAAGGGCATGCTATCATGGTGACTATGTGTCTTGAAAAGGGGAGTTCTGATAGTCCAGGGTCACTGTAACCAATTACACCATCCAGGTATTCAATGATCCTAACCTTGACACTGAAATAGTGACTGGCTGCATTCTCCTACACAGTCTCCCTATTCCACCTGTTTTTTCAGAGGAAAGAATACATAGACCACCCCTGTATCATAAAAACTATTTCATGCTGTGCACACGGAGCTGCTCTAAGTTACTGTTGGTTTCTGACTAAGCCAAATCCCTGAGGAACAGTCTGGAAATAGGAAATGAGGCTGACAAAGAATTAAGAAAAATTCTGTCCAGGGGAAATATTGGCTCCAGCTTAACGTTTCTAATTTCTCTTTTCATCTTAGTAGCAGCAGTGGGGAAGAAAAGGTCCTTGGTTCTCACACCCTTTCTAATAATAATAATTTTCACACAGCACCTAAAAAAGTCTTAGGCTGTACTAGTAGAAAAATCAAGTAGAGATGACTACAAGAATTCTTGAAGTAGTTATCTCAAGTGAAGTTTGGTACTGTAGCAGCAGACAATGAAGCAACAGAGAAGACATTTTAAACAGAGCATTCAAGCATATGCTTTCTAGTTAAGTAACTGTTCAGGAATCACAAATGCCAACTGAAAAAAAGCTCAGAACAATTATCCACAGGCATGAAAACACATGGTAAACCCTGCCTATGTAACAGGAGGAGAAAGTATTAAGACAACTGTGCCAGGACACACAGATTGGGTCCCAGGTCTATGAGGATTTCAGGCTGGAGGCATCAACACCTGCATCTTCTTCTGGAGCGTGCTCTGACACCTCTCTCAGCCTCACTGTTGTCACAGCAATAGAGAAGATGGCCTACGTCAATAAGCCAAACAACTCATGGCTGTTGTACTCTGCAAACAGCCTCCCATGTTCAGAGAGAAAATATTTAACTCTGGAGCATATTAAGAGGAGGGAAAAGAATCAGCAGCAAGCTACACCCTCAAGCATTCAACTGAGATTTCTGCTTTTTTCAAGTAATCTCTTCAGGCTTGTATTGGCTGGCAACCAGCCCATTTGCCTTACTTATACTTACTCTGGAACAAATAGCTGGTCACAGAGTTTTACTTGGAGGGCAGCTTGAAGGGAAAGTATTTAGCATCTACTACACCTGCTGAGTAGGTATGGTTCTGTGCTATTTCTACTACACATCTTCCAAGTGCAAGGCATTCCACGATCATATGCTCTACTTAACCTGGCATTAAAGATCATTCATCTTCCGCACACAAACCTCCCTGCAATTCCTAGCCTAAACATGTTTCCAGCTTTATACTAACACTGTCTCTCATTGCAAAACACTTTTTTTTCTCCTTCTTCCTCAGTGTTTTCTCTATCAAATAATAATCTCCATCTCTATTACCCTTTCACTTTTGACAGTCTCTATGCCTCCTTCATCCTCTGTCCCACTCTCTTTTGAACAAGCAATAGAAGGACAAGGAGGTTGTCAGGATTTTTTTGCACATAACATCCTGGACCACCTCTGGGGATTGCCTCTTACCTTTGGCTGACTCAGTTCATCTAGAGCGCTCCCAGCTGTGCAGGGTCATGGCCAGGCTGGATAGCAGAGGACAAATCCTGCCAGCAAAGTTGCAGCACATCAAGCAGATCTCAGTAAAATATCACCACCAACCAAGTTCAAAACACAGAAAAGTCTGAACAGCACTATTACCTTTTGTTCAGGGAAAGCAAGCAGCTTGTGAGGCCTTTAAGACTCCCAGACTGCAGATGCGATTGAAAACAGCTGAGGAGGCACAGCCAGGTGAATGAACAACCCCACACTAAACTCTAAAGGGATGCGGTTCTACTTTTCTTTTCTTACGAGGGCCACTTGCCTTTAAGTGACTGATTTTCAATTACATGAAGCATTTGTATCAGTTTGAATTTGCAGATCTGCTGGATTGTAGTAGTTAGAAAGGCCTGGAAGCACAGTAACGATAGTAGAGGTTGCAGCCAGTTTTCTAGACTGCATTGTGCACGGTTACTGTAGAGGAAAGGAGGGAGTTCAGCATGTAAGGATGTATGGATGTATGAAAATTTGTTTAGCAGCTACATTGGTTCTTTACACTAACTTGTCTATTTACCTTTGACTTCAGGAACTCAGTGATCTATGCTTACTGTCACTGCAGATAGATGAATAGAGGATTCCTAATTTTTAGGAACAACTTGGAGTAATTCTGTTTCTTTTAAAAGAAGAATATGACGGTCAAAGATGAGAAAAAAAGGAAAGCCTACAAGAGCTTAAAATTCAACACCTTAACCCAAGTTTTGACTACTACACTTATGGTATGCTTAACCAGCCCATGCACTTTTTTACCAGAACAGCTGCATTTTAGTCCTTCTTCTGATCTTGTCTTATAAACATCAGGTCATATTTCTAACTATTCATCACTAACCTAAGGATCAGTCCCTAGCCTCACCTTAAATTAAGGCCAGCAGTTTAGCACTAGTACAGTCATCCAGGTGCCTGTTATTTAACCACATGCACCTGGAAGGATCCATTCCTGGCCAGCACGAATTCCCCACAATACAATCAACATCAAAATTAACCTACTGGTTACTGGTTGTTTTGGTTTTTTTTTTTTTTTGGGGGGGGGTGTTTATTCCTGAACTATTTTTTATTTCTGAATCACATGTCATATTTTCTAAAGACATTTCAATATTTTTGTTTTGAAAAGTTTTTACAGAAAGGTAGATCTTTTCCTCTCCCAGTTTACCAGATCAGCTCCTACCATTGCAAGCATCTCATGCAACTTGTTCCCCTGTATCAGGATTTTTAATTCAGTTGTCCTTTTGCCTCTCTACCTTTTTCTGTAATACAACAAATTTTTCCTGCACAAGACAGAAGTATTGGTGTGATTGGTGTGAAGGAACTCTGCAATAGAGCTGTTCTGGATTTAACACTGTGAACCAGGATCTGACCCATTAATGCTGGAAGCAACCATTATTATTAAAATGGGGCATAGTGGAGTTGCTAATATTCAGCTGACATGAAGTAAAAAAATGCTACCTGAAAAAAAAAAGAATACCATCATCATCACAGACTATATATCCTCAGAAAGAAACTGGAGGATACTATTCAAACCTAGTCCAGATTAGTACCCACACTAACACAGGATGAAGTTGTATGTGTTACACAGGCCCTTTTGCTTATTTCAGCTGTCTGGATACTCACTATTCAACCATTTTGATTTTGTGCTCCACATCTCAACACGAGAGGAGAAAAGTTTTCATTTGCTGGGATAGTGCTCAGGCTTTTATTACACAGGCAGCAATAGGAAGAAAAGCGTTTTCAGGTTTAGTGGGAGAGAAGTGAACAATGATCTCAGACTGAAAACAGCTATTCTCATGATGCTATGGCCTTGGCATTGCCCTGTGCAGTGTGGTGCCCCTGAAGAATCCTCTGCAGTCAGCGAGCTATTCTCAGATATTGCACTGCTGACATATCCATACCCAGGTGAGGATGGGAATGCTTTTTCTTTTGGACTCAGCAGTCCCAGTTTCAATTCATAATCCTATTTTTCTTCAATTTTGCCCCTGTGTGGACTACATGCCCCACAGCTGTGTTACACCGCAGATACAACCACTGTGACTGGTTCCCCACCTGCGCTGCTTGCTGTGGTTGGCACTCCCAGCAGCATGGATTTTGCATGGACCTGGGCCAAGCAGAAATCTCCCAGCCCTGGACCTGCAAACTAGAGAGATGGTTTTGCCCCATCTTCACTAATGGATGTCAGATCATCATTCTGAGTGCATCAGAAGGCATAACAGCCTAAGGGAGGCTGGGTTCCAGACCTGCTTCAGAGGTTACTTCCCAAAATGCATTCTGCTGATTCATCCCCTGCTGACACTGCTGACTTCCTGTAAACGCCTGACCCAGGAAGATAAATTACCATTAAGGCTGACAAGGATATACCCTCCGTGACAATAACTCACACTGCTGTTTCCTAGCACAAAAGAACATCACTTTTGCTTTGGCAGAGTCAGTATATCATTTGGGATTATTAATGTGAGCATCTCTTGCAGACACTAATGAGGCTGGTGCACTCTTGACATAGGACAGCCATACTCACACCATGGGGCTCAGACACCGAGCAGTGACCATCATTCTCAGGTGGAGAGTGATTTGTTGCAAAGGACTAATTTCATAATGTCTTCATTCTCAGCAAAAACTTCTAAATGGCATTACTCATCCCTCATGATACATGAGATATCTTAGAAAATGGCCACTACTGCTAGGCAGGATGGAAATTATGAGGGCCATCAAATAAGTCTGAAGGCTTCAGAGCAGGAACTGATCACCAGGTAGAAGCAGGAAGGAATGTCTCCTCAGCCATAGCATTACTGTAGGAAGATCATGGCACTGGTAAGGCAGGGAGGGAAACTGGTTTTAAAACATGCAGTGGGGCCATGGCTAAAAAAGGAGCAATTCCACAGCAATAGTTACAGAAGCCCCTTTGAAGACAAGCAGACTGTGGTGTCTTCACCCTTCCTAGAGTAAATATCCACAATGCTCCACATATTATAAAGTAATCATATAATTCAAGGTTAATGCTTCAAGACACTCTTAAAGGTACAAATATGTTATAGTGTGCACTACTTTAATTACAGCTAAAATTATTTCCAGCATTTTCACTTTGGTACTGAAACATCTGTTTGTGTCTGCAACGAGCCTCTCTTATCCCACAGCAAATTGCATAATGTTTTCATTAGCACCATCTAGCAAATGACAAGGCAATATTCCAGTAATGTTTCTCCCACTAACAGATGTGATCTTGTTGAAATCTCTCCCTTTTGGTTCCCTTTAACTTCTTTCTCCCCTGGAATGAGAGGATATAGAAAGGGGGGAGAATAAAACATTACAACAAAGGGGAAGTTAAGCAACCTCATTACAACCAACCTAGAGCAGCAAATGATTTGAGGTTTGAAGAAAGGGAACTTGCATGTTATTTGCAGTTGTTCCTGTAGATATAATTACCAACAATGTGCCTCAACCCAAGAAAGCAGAGGGAATTCATCTGCACAAGAAACTGATGATGGATGCAATAAAGAGTAACTTCATGCTGCCAAATAAACACTTTCAGTATTCCTAAAATTACAGCATAGCAGTTCCATAGCTGTAAGAAATCCTTTTTTATTCTTCCCACTTAGCCTGGAGTATATCAGGACTTCATTTTTTAAAATCAGCAAGTGAGAAGTCAGATTTAGTGCACGAAAAGAGTGATAAAGTGTGGGTCCCTCTTACTCTCCTCTTCCTATGTCTTGGTACTGTCCTTCAGGGATCGTTCCTACAGGATTTACCATCCCATCCTCAGTTTCTGATCTGAGCAAGATTTTTTGGGTGAGTTGATGGTCCTGGTGAAGCCATTAATAGGCCCCAGATTTCTGTACCGAGAAGTGAACTTTTATCTTACCAAGATTTACTCCAGCTCTTGCAAAGGTTGTCTACCCCAAAAGCGTGGCTTAGTGTACATGAAGTTAGGTTGAAAAATGATGACACTGCCACAACAGTAAACACTTAGTTAATTTTAAGATTTTCCTGGCTTTTCAGTTTTTGTCACTGTCTTTTAAAAACTTCTCTCCCCAGTTGTGAAGGCTACAAAATAAAACTTAAAATCTTCCTTAATCAAGTGGGAAATTAAAGAAAAAATACTCCTGTAATGGATTGCAATGCTATATTTGAGTACACCATCAACAGCCATCTAGTAGACAACAGAATCATCAGTCCTTGCTGATGTTTATTTCTGGATATCCCTTAAGTGAATAAAAATCATCTTGAGTTACTCACTCTGCTCATGCTGATGTGCTCTGTGGATGTGTCCTTGCTCCAGACCTCATTTAGAAGATGTTATGACTCTTCACTCCCTTATGGCTTGATTAGAGCAACCTACTCTGTCTTCTTTTACAGTCCAGACTCCTTCAGACTCATGCAATGTGTTACAACTGTTTCTACAGGGCAAGCTGCTAAACTTTTAACTGCTTTGCATCATTGCAAAATTTGCCAGAAAACAGGAAATTTGTGTCAGGTTATGTATAAAGTTTTTTGAACCATATTTGCTTTATGGTTCAAAGACACCAACCAAATGATAAAAACCTTGAACTAGGACTTGGAACAGATATGATAAAAAATATAGTTATTTCAATTTCAAATTGTGCAACTGAAGCACAATCAGGTTTGAAAGTCATTGTTATGCTGAAAACCTACAACAGATGTAAGGTTGGAATCTGAAATTGCTCTTCAGAAATTACTTGGACTCTCATCTTCTTGACTAAGTATCTACTCTCAGAGTGGTTTATGCTCTGCTTCTGAATCAACACTCATTGCCTTCTTTATCTTCTTTGTCTTTTCTGCATCTGCTTGATTAACCATTCTTTATTTCGTGAATGTTGCCAAACTTTCTATTTGCCTGTAACTGTCTTCCTGTGTTTCTGGATCATTAGGCATATAAATTAAATTAAATTGCAAATTGAGTATATAATGGTGCATAGGCAGGGTCTTGAAGAATAGGGAGGACTTTATTGAGGGAAGATATTCCCGCATCTGTAATTCTGACCTGCTCAGTCTTTCTGAAAGGATTCCTCAACAGATTTGAAATTAAATCATTCAAATAGGTTTTGCAGCTTTTGTAGGAAATTATTTTTTC